TAGAGACTGCGTCTTTGGAGAAAAAGTTGTTATAATCGGAGAAGAAAATGAAATAGTTCTGCTACATGCAGTATCAAAACCATTCCGAAGCTGATTGACAGTTTAGTGGAAAAATTACTGAATGTCTATGGTACGTTAACTGTCAACATACCTTCCCTTGGCCATATTTCATAGATTCCATCATACTTATAACCGGTTAAATAATATTCGGCACAATCTTCTGGATAATGACTAAACTGAATATCATTTCCACTACTTGCCTGATATGCACGTATAACCATTGATTCATTATTTAAATACAGACCTCGTGAAAGATCGTCATTTAAGTCACCGTTCACACTTAGGTAAAATAAGTAGGGTAACAGAAGAACTAAATCTTTCAGCATCATCGCCATATTATCAGTTATTCCAGTCCTAGATTGAAAAATATAATATGCTACCCTTCATATAGAAGACAGGTGTGAGAATACCAACGTGCAATTTGTTCACTCACAGTTTGATTATTTTCAAATCTAATTTTGAATTAGCCGTTTTGAGTTTTGAAGGAAAAACATCTTGATTTTGAGTAGTATGTCTAAGCGGTCTCTTGGTGAAACCTTGAGGAGAGAAACATTTTAAAAGTGCTTTCGAATCATCGGTTTGTTGCATTCTAAACTTTCTCAACACCCCTCAACTCGGAACCAGCTGGATCGAAAAATGGATTTGAGTAACATAGTTGAAACATATTTTAGAACTGAATAACAATGAATGGCAGTGATCCATCTCTTGATAGTTCCAAAAGAACAAGGGAAAAACAACAACAAGCAGAGACTCGAAAACAGCAAGATGAACAGCAAAAACAACAACAACAAGATGAAAAAAGTAAACAAAATAATGATTCAGAGAATCAACAGAAACAGTGAAAAACGAGAACACGTATATAGTTCTGTAGACAAGTCTCATTATTAGTCACATTCTTATAGTTTTTTTTATTGCATGAATAAATTTCACCTTTTGTAGTAGATTATGACTTGATTCTCTAGTTGACCGAAAGCACGGGAATCAATTCAATTGTTATAGAAGTCGTACAAACAAATTATATACAGCAGAGGTCTTAAATGCGTGGTTGGGTGATAAGATTGTTATAGAGTATAATATAAGAAACTAATAAGATTCTTAGATGAATTTGGTAAGATTTATTATATAGGCTTTTTATAAGACTCTTGTAATGAACTCTCAAACATTATCTATGCGAAGTTTGAATATTTAAAGGCTATACATGCACAACGAAAAATCCCCAGATCACTTGCGCTTGCATTTTAGCTTGTGTTTTTCAGTTTGTTTACGTTTTCATCACAAATATCATCCGTCAATCACTTCTGAAGAACACGTTCATAAAGAGAGGTTTCGTTCTTAGTTTCGTGAGACGACTTCTTTCTTAATACATCGATTAACAAAGTAAAGCGATAATTTTCTTCTCATCTCTCAATTTCTTTTTCAAACTATTGATATTAGAAAGTTGGCATAGCCTGAATAAACTGATATTTCAACACCAGTGAGAAAGTATGATAATTGAAGTTAGCTAAACTAATTAAAAATGTCGCATAAACACTTTGTATTGTTATCGTGGAAAAAAGTCTTTTTCGGTCAGATCTCTCATGCATTTCTCTGTTTAACAAAAAGTCCCTCTTCTTGAGTCAAAGAAACCCTATTTCCACCTGCGACGAACATATTTTACTATAATTTGGCTAAAACAAACACAGGCAGCAGTGGTTTATCAAGCAAATTTTGCATAGGGAATGATCGTTGCAGTCTAAGTACTTCTCAGTATCTACGTCTAGTTGGTAAAGTTTCATCTTGTGCATATTGTGACTGGCATATTTTACTAAAAATAGATCAGCCCTTTAGTATTAAAAATAAACCTTTGCACTGGTCACTAAGCGTCGGCTTTTTCAAGAAGTAATATTTCCTGCTTATTCAAGTTTACGAACAACAGGGTGCTAACTAGTACGTAAATGTTGGGTAGATGAGATGACAGTAGTAACCGACTACTAAAGCAACTTATTTTATTCAAAAAATACCTATCTCCTGCGCGCACATGACAACTCTGGATTTAAATATAGACTTCAGAGGCGTGAATCGTGCCTCTGAATTCTATAT